GGGTGCATCTTATACAGTGGTTGCAAAAACAAGTGCGAAAAAAGCGGGAAATGCAAGTAAAAAAAAAAAATCTACAACCACTGTATAAGACGCACCCAGTTTTTAGATCCCACATTTTTCGAAAAAGGGTGCGTCTTATACACGGGGAAATACGGTAATAAGAAAGTTATTTAAAATATCAACCAAACCTATAGGAAATAAATAAATGTAAAACATTTATAGGGAAAATTACCAGTCATCATCCACCTGAATAAAAGGAGAAGACCCAATATTGTAAAGGTGTTAGTTCTCCTGGAATATATATTAAACACAATTTTAATAAAAATTCCAATAGGATTTTGAGTGTGTGTGCACACAACCAGACGAGCTAACATTTAGACGAACTAGTAAAATCCAAGAAAGCCAAGAAATTCTGAAAAAATATAAAAGTATTTATAATAGTTAACAATTATTGCATGCTTCCTTATATGGCAGGCTCTATTCTAACATTTTGCATATATTATCTCCTTACAATCATCCCTGAAGTGGATACTATGATCTATTGGGTTTTCAGAAAAGTCATGACATATTTTTTCTGTTTTTCATTGCAAAAATGCGTCATGACTTTTCCGACAACCCAATATATATAGCCAAGGAGACTGAGAGAAATTAAGTAACTTGCCCAAAGTTACTTGGTACTCAAAGGAGTCGCAACAGATGCAAGATGATAGTGTGTGTAATATCTTCCAAGTACGGAGGGGAAATAATTGTGAGTCCAGAATTCTACACTCATTTGTAAGAGCAAAACAGAGGCATTTCAGGAATACAAATACTTTAAAGTTTACCAAAAACCTTATGAAAGAACTTCTAAATTTAGGTTGACAGGAAGAAAAATGAACTCAAAAGGAAGAAGCATGCTGTTAGAAGTAGCTGCCTCCAAAGCGCATTGAATAAATAAAACAAAAAACTGTGAAGTAGGTGAGAAAAGTGGAACTCAAGGAAAAGTATAGATAGAAAATATAAGGTGTATAATAATGTTATTAGTTATCGAAAAATAGAGGCCACGCGTGGGCTCTGTGCTTCCTTTGGCCAAATAAGAAATGAGAAACGTAAAATAAAGGATTCACAGCATGCACAAGACAAAGCAAACAAGCTGTTCACAAGACCTTCTCTTGGCACTGTGAGGCCAGAAAGACATTTCTCATGTTTAAATGGCTACAAGATCTGGGACATTGGTCCAAGTATGATACTTTGAGGAAAAAGTCCTTGACTCAAAAAGATGATTTAGAAGCATCAGCCTTTCAGCAATCTCTTCCTTGATAGATGAGATAAAGCCTCCTTAAGGCATGTTATTTGAATGACCAGGTGTTTTAGAAAAGTCCATCCTTCTGGGCTTTTTAGGTGTATTTCCGGAAGAGGATGAATAAAGGTGACCTCTGGGGACCTGGTTGCCTGGGAGGGCCCATGGTGGTTACGAGATGGGCGCATTTTTGCCAGATCTACCCCAGAATCACTCACACTGAATATTTCTGCCTCCGCTAAACCAGTTCATCTTGCCAACACATGGGATCACCCACATAGTTGACTTCTAAAAAATAAGACTATTTTTTAGTCTTATTTTTATTGTGTTTTCACAGTAATAAGCAACGAGAAGCAATTTGCTTTTCTTTCTCCTGTTAGACATGGTAAATCCTCGACTTCCTATTCTGACATCCCATGTAACACTTAGATACATGGGAGCCCGGGAACTTTCCCTGGGTTCTCCTACCCATCACACTCCCCTGATAATGCCGAAACCAATGTAAGCCCACACTGGCAGGGCTCAGAAGTAAGTTGGACTGATCTATTGTACTTTAAAAATCCTGCCTTCTACCAGGACGGCGCCAGAGTCCCATGGGGTTCCTGGCACTCCAAGTTGGCTGGGAAGCCTCCGTGGAACTCTGGATGCTTATTTGTGGGCAGAGCAGGCTCCCAAGGGAAGGTGAGGTACCTCTGGCTAAGTCTGGAGCAATTCCCCAGGACTTCTACCGAGAAGTGACAATGGGTAATGGGACAAAGGGGACGTGGAGGCATTTTACAACTAATCAAAACATCACGTCTTAGTAAAGGACAAAACACTTTCCCTTCCTTTTTCTATCTATTTTTCCTTATAATTAAAATAATAATAATACATATGCAGGGAGACGGTAGACAGAGGACTGAGATGTAGACTTTGGCCACTGACCTGAATTCAAGATTTGATTCTCGCATATAGTGGCTACACGACCTTGGCAAGCTTCCCGATTCTAGTTTCTGAATCTTATATCATGAGAATATTAATTGTATTTGCCTCAGAGTTTCAAAATGAAATACCTTATGCATGTGCTTTACACTCACTAAATCTTGGCTATTACTATTGCAAAAAAGTTGAGAAATACAGGCAAGCACAAAGAAAATCAAAAGCACCTATAATCCCACCATCCATTTCAATGCATATGATTCTAATATTTTTGGATGGATTTTCAAAGACTCAGCTTACAGTGCTTTCTATTTCATAACTTGCTTTTAGCATTCAACACCATACCCTAAGCAGGTCCTATGTAATTCAGTATTCTGGTACAACATGATTTTAAAGTAACCTATGAGTTACTTTACTTCTTAATGACCCCTGCTCTCCTTCCATAGGCCCCACTCCTGATATAGTTACAACTCACCTGACTCATCCACATGATAAGTGGCTGCTTTCCATTGTCTCACTGGGGATGCAGCCTTCAGTCTCACCATCCAGAACACCTGCTCCTTGGGTAAGGGGCACTTTGCTAGCCCTCAATATATCCCCAGTGTCCAGAGCAGCCTACCTGCCTGGGGCTGCACGACAAACCCTTGTGACTAGTGGCAAAGCACCCTGTTTAATAAGAGTCTATAAGGTGGTGCAAAACCTGAGCAAGGCACAAAGGTGATTTCTCTCTAAAAAAAGCATAAGATTGACTTCTGGGGCATTAAAAACACTATTACAAATTCTCAGGAAGAGGAAGATTTTTATCTGAGGGCATTGTTTTTCTAAGTAAGAGGGTCAAACAAGTTCAAAACTGAAGTGCTTTGTTTTGGAATGGAAGTCACAACACTTTATCAATGACATTTTGAGACTACTATAAAACCTTACTAATTCATACAAACGGGGAAGTGTCAAACTGAATCAGCAGAGAAAAATGAATTACGCCCTTTTTAACATAAAGGAGTTTATTTCCAGTGAAATTCGTTTAAAAAAGAATCTTTATTTCCATATAGTTCAATACATTGACCTGTTTTGATGGGTTGTTCTGAGCCTGACCTGATACATATATTACAGTCACACTTATTGTTTTACAGAAATGAGAATGGCTAAAATTCTTGAGAAGTGAGTTCTCCTTAAAAATAATAAAAGTCCAATGCTCCCCTGTGATCCTGCTCACCAAGCTCCCTCCTTAGGAAAGCTTTTTCTTCCCAGGTCATGTGGAAGCAAACCCCAGCTACGGCTGCTCCCTGTAGCCCCATTTCTGATTGAGGGGGAAGAGGCTCGCAATAACAACCCAGATAAATCCCTTAAAAAAAAAATCTGCGGATTCCAAGCTTGATCTGTCCAGACCCATCTGAGAATTAACAAGCTCCTTCTAAGCACCCAGACAGAGAACTGGGCCTGTCATGGAAACACTGATTCAACCATAATGAGAACAGACATAAAACCACACAAATGAACTAACCATTCTTCCACCCAATGAGAGTCAAGCTGAAGCAACAGCCTCAGGAGTAAAAGAAGTGAGGCAGTTTTTTCTTTGAGGTCCTGCTCCTGTAGGCTCTTCCATTGCCTTGTTTTCACAACTCCTGTTTATGAGAAAGTGGGAGCGGGGAGTGGAGAGCTAACACGG